TATTTCATTTGTTTCATTGTTTTGATTCATCAGCCTGCTCACATTGTCCATCTTTCTGTTTGGTGACATGTGCTTTATAAAAGTCCTTTGATGTTGAGGATATTTGCCTGTGTTGCCACATATGTCTGGAAAATGTACTTTCCAAGTTTATCTCTTGCTTTTAAATATGTTTTGTTTGTGGTTTTTGACATACAGAAATTTTTCATTAAAAAATTAAGTCTAGGGGTGCTGGGTGGCTCAGTCGGTTAAAGGTCCAACTATTGGTTTCAGCTCAGGTCGCGATCTTGGAGATAGAGCCCGGGGTCAGGCTCCATGCTCAGCATGGAGTCCGCTAAAGTTTCTCCCTGCCCCTCTCCTGCTCTCTTTCAAATAAATAAGTAAATCTCAAAAAAAAAACAAAAACACTTCCGGTACTGAGGTACAGTAATCCCCCTTTATCCATGATTTCACTTTCTGGGGTCTCATTACTTGCAGTCAACTGTGGCCTGGGAGGAAGTGACCCTGTTCTGACATAATGTCAGAAGGACAAGTAGTAATGCTATGTCACAGTGCCCACGTCATTCACCTCACTTCATCTCAACACGTAGACTTTTTAGCCTCTCACATCATCACAAGGAGGGTGAGCCCAGTACAATAAGATATTTTGAAAGAGAGAGATCACATTCACATAACTTATATTGTGGTGTATATATATATTATTTTCAAACTGTATATTTTTATAATTGTTCTATTATTAGTTATTGCTGTTAATCTCTTACTGTGCCTAATTTATAAATTAAACTTATAAAATAAATCACAGTTATGTATGTATAGGAAAAAACATAGCATAGGTAGGGTTTGGTACCATCCACGGTTTCAAGCATCCACTGGGGGTCTTGGTAAGTATTCCCCACGGATAAGGGGGGACTACTGTATAAAAGTAAGAATTTTGAGGAAAAAGGAATTTTGAGGGAGGGAGATGACTTAAACTCTGGGAGGAGAGGCTGAGTGTGGCAAGATTCCTATTCCCTGAAGTTCCAAGTTCACACTGGAATTGCTGTCAGAAGTTCAGAGTGAGGGACGGAGAGAGGGAGGGAAGGAAGGGCAAAGGGGAAAAGGGACAGAGGAAGGAAGGCTCTGGATGGCAGGGGAGGGCCTGGCCAGTGCCAGTGTATAGATCTGAAGATGTCTCTAGGCTGGTCTTGTCTGGTGATGGAACAGGAGGGAAGAAGCTTGCTGTGGCCAGGAAGATCAGATTATCTCATCCTAAAACCACCACTGTGTCTGAAACATCCAGAGAAGGGGACAGAACCTACACGGGGGGCTGTCCTTGGACCCAAGTGAGAGCACATCTGTCTGTGAGTCAGGCAGTCCAAACACCACACTGAAGTTCTGTCGAATCAAGGTCAGAGTGTGGAAACCAGGTCAAGGGCGAGTCCTTGGTTCATCCATCCCTAAGAAGCGAGGGGTGCTGCCCAGTCGAGCCTTTTCCTGTTGCTCATTTTACAAAGACTCCAAAGTTGTTTTCCTGTTTACCAAGTTGGAATTTTAAAAATCACCGCAAAGTCAGTAAACTTGCCTTTCTCCTACATCCAAAAGTTGAAAAAACCCTCAAGCATGGTTTGTGAATTTTAAAAATTGCCTTCTGAGTTTTCACATTGTGTTTAGAGTTTTGCATAGTTGAATTTGAAAACAAAGGTCATTCTTTGTAACTTACTGTAGACATTTCAAAAGAACAATCTTTGGCTAATACTAAGAAGTTACAGAAATAAAGCATTTGGTCACTGGCTGCTTAAAATGGAAAAGCCAAAGGTTTTCCGGGAGGAAACAAAGGGACGTGAGGAGTCTAGGCTCTGACCACTCAGGCGAGTGTGTGTGTGTGTCACTGAGTGTGACTGCAAGTTTTAGGGGGCTTGCTCGGCACTACCTAAATCCGGTAAGCATTTTGGGGTGTGGATGAGCAGATCTTGAGTGGCCCAGCTGTTTCTGAATGAAGGCATTTCCCGGTGGGCATATTCGCATGGGAAGAGCGCGTGCATGGGGCAGCCTGCTTCGTGCAATCCTGCCTGTGTGGGAACAGTATGAGTGTGTCATCCCAGCAAGGGTGTGTGTCCCTGGGGCTGGCATTCCGTGTTACCAGGCAACCCAGTGTGTCTGGGTGTGTCCCCTTAGCGCGCTCTCTCTCTCTCTCCTGCTGAAGTCTCTGGGCACAGCCTGCTTGGAGGGTGTCTGGGCTGTGACCATCCGCACATGATCAGGTCTGTGACAGACGCTGTTCCTGGCCTCAGTGAACACACTCACAAAAGCACAAGCGGTGCATGGCTGGGGTTCTCCAGAACTGCTGCCTCTGGAGGTGGTGGCTGAAACTGGAAGTTTCCATCTGGCCATGTGTGTGCAGAGCTTTGTGTCTGAGTGTTGGACTATGGAAGGCTCAAGTAGGACCCTGCTTACAGCTGAGGGTTTAGAGGAACTGGCTGTCCCTCCTGGGGGCTGACCTTGGGCATCGGGGAATTTTGCAACCGTGATAGCACGTGACAGACCCTTTTTCACTGTCCTTGCAGGAATCTTTTTGAACTCAGTGTTTGGAACCAGGCCAAAGTCTCTCTAGGTACCATAGGCAGTGATCCCTCTAGGCAAAAATGAAACGTCTGCAAAAGTCACAAGGCAGACCTATGAGTGCCTAAAACTGGTCCTGAAAGGAATTTTTCAGAAAGGAAAAAAAAAGGGGGGGTGGATTTTAAAAATATTTTTGAACAAAGAAAGTGACATCTTTGAAATAATCAAAGAACTTTCTAGGTTGATTCCTTTAGAGTTCTGTACTATTTTGATTCTCAAGAGATCTATTTTAATATTAAGAAGGTGAAAAAATGGGTTCAGAAAAGGAGATGATTTGCTCGAGCCTCACAGGGAGGTGGAGACAAGAGTTGGGACTAGAACCTGATCCTGAGGTTCCCCACCGCCCCCCCCCAGATTTTCCCAGCCCGTTTCTGTTTCTGTTTCTGTTTACATCTGTGTGTCTCTGGGCGTGTCCCCCTCTGGCTGATGCCCAAGCAGGCTCTAGG